CACGAGCAGCACAGCGCAAGGGCCAGCAGGGCGCACAGCGCACGGCACTTCATCGTCGCCGTCAATCGTGGAGTCGCTTAGCGCTGCGGAGCTTACCTCTGGGGCAGTGGGAGAGGAAGAAGAAGAGACACGGCTGCCACACTCTGCGCGCAGGCACCGCAGAGGGACAAATCGCAGCGGCCCAGCGGCAGCAACGCACACACACACACACAAGCTCAGCAGCAGCAAGAGAAAAATCCCATGAAACGCAAAAAAGTAAAAATGAAAACAAAAGAGGCCGGCCCCGAATGGCTCCAGTGCGTGTACCCTCACCCAGACAAACATGCGTGCGCGGAAGCATCTGTACGCGTGGCGTGCATGTGAGTGTGTCTGAGACGCACGCCACGTGACGGCCGTGAGGAACCGCACGGAGCACACAGCAGGGAGGCAGAAGCAATGAGAGAAAAGCAAAAGGGGAAAAAAAACGAAACAAACAAAAACGGGCGCTCCTTCACTTAGCAAATCAACCCACAAGGTGCACCCTCACAAATCCCAGAATTTAAGCGCCAAGGCTCCAGAGACCCACGCCTCGCCTCAGCACAGGGTGGCGTGCGCCAGCGTGAACGCAGCGAGCACCAGCGAGGCCCACCCCCACGCCCGGCCGCCGAAGCTGCCGTCCTTCTTGCCAGCTCCATTCGGGGCAACCGTCGTCGTCGTACTTGTGGACTCAGGCGCCTCCGTCGTTGTCGTCGTTGTGGTCGTGTCACTGTTTCCAGTGGCCACTGTCACGCACACGGACGGGAAGCAGCAGAGGGCGAGAACAAGCAACAAGTACAGCAGACGGCACCTCTGAAGCTTCATGGCTCTTGTTGATTGGCGCTGGGCCGGTCTGCACGGTGAAGGGCGAAGAGAGCAGCAAGGAAGATAAAGAGAGAGGAGAGGGAGGTGTGCGGCGGACACGCACGCAGAGGGCAAACTGAATGCAGAGAAGGCAGCCGCCCAGCGTGCAGCGCAGGACGCACACCACGCACGACGCAGACTCCGACCCAGGGCAAAAAGCACACGGCCCTGCAGCAAGACAAGCGCAAATAAGAGAAAAAGAAAAAAGGAAAAAAGATGTGGGCAGCACCCACAGGCCACACTACATCCGCAGCGGCGCCTGTCGTGCCTGCACCCCCGGAAGGGGCATGCGCACACAAGAAGAGGTGCAGCGCCCATTTGAAAAAAAAACGGGGGAAAAACAAGTGAATAAGAAAAGCTTGATACTCCTGCGGCTGGTGGAAAGTTGATGCGCGGGAATTAAAAGCAAAAACTTAGCATGAAAACAAATTAGATCGAAACTTCCCCTCCTTATTCTTCGGCGCACACCATTTCATACGACCGCGGACACAACCAGCGGCAGCAGCAGCACAGCGGTGCTTGCACCCACGCAGTGATGACGCCGCTGCTGTCCGCACCACCTGCAGTACGCTCCCGTGCACTGCTGTTGGCGGTGCCAGAGAAAGCAGCTGCGGGGCCCGATGCTTCCTTCCCTTTCACACTACCCTCCGGCACGGCGGGCACGGCGGGCACGGCGGTTGCTTCTGGCGACGCAGGCGAGCCAAGAGCAGCGGGGTCTTCGGCGGGCGGAGATCCAGTGCGGGGGCCTGCGGTCGCTCCGTTTGAGGGCAAAGCGGAAGTTGTCTCTCCGGGCCGTGAGGCTTCGCCCCGTGTCGGGTCTTGCGGGCCGCTTTGGGTCTGCGCGACCTCTTCCTTTCCTCCGGCAGCCGCCCCGCTGCCCCCCGCGCCTCCTCCCCCACCGCCGTTCTCCGTCCCCGTGGCGCCGGCAACCGCCGCCCCCGGCCGCACGGCGTTGCCGTCTTGCCCTGCCGCACCCCCGCCAACGAGCGCCGGCGCTGGCGGCGGGACAGTGGGGGTTGCCCCAGCAGCGACCGTGCCCGCCACATTCGCCTGCGGCCCTTCCTTAACCTGGGGAGGCGGAACTTCAACAGGAGAAGGCGTCTCTTCCCCCACGTGCTTCTTCCACCAATTCTCCAAACTGACTGGATTAATCAAACTGACGTT